TGAAGGGGACGTTAAAAAGAAAAGAAAAGAAAAAAAAAAAAAAAAAAAAAAAAAAAAAAAAAAAACACGGACAGAAAGATTTGATTACAGAACACAAAATAAATAAGATTCTTTTTCACATTCCTTTTTTTGCTGACCAGTCCATTAAACACCCATCGACTGTTTTTGTTTTTCTTTTGGTCCTTTCTTTTTGTACTTCCCACGTTCTTCCTAACGAGACTAAGATTTCGTTTTTGTGAACCCAATCGGCATGACTGTTCGAAACAAAAAAAAAAGGAGAAAAAATTTAAAAAAAGGCAGCGGGAGGGAGCGGCCAGCGGGCCGAAACGAGGGAGTGAGCAGGCAAATGATTTCGCAGGTGCACGCGGAACCGGGTGCGCAAAGGGAGAGAGAGAGAGAGAGAGAGAGAGAGAGAGAGAGATGTGTGACATTGAGACCTTCGACTGCCCTTCCTCCTCACGTAAATCGTCGTATTGTACGTAAGCTCCTCGTCCCGTTCACGTCAAAACCCAGCAAGCTCCATAGTATCTGTCAGGAGAATATTTCGGGGACGAGGAACTAGATTATAGCAAGATTCGCCCGACGGTGCGGAACCACTGCATGAGCTAATCAGGTATCGATCTGATTAGCAAGCAAGATCGGCGGGACAAGTGTTATGTGCGGCACAGTAGTAGGTATGTAGAGGCAGTACAGGCGAGGTGCCTAGCCTCCTCCACATTTAACATCCTCCTTCAGCTCTTCTGGACGTCGAACCTCCTCAACCTCCTCCTTCTCTCCACGTCGGAGCTCCTCCTCCTCATCCTTCTACTGCTCGTCTACAAACTCTTCTGCCCTGCATGAACTTGGTTGCATCGCACACAAGAAGGTCCCCCCGCAAAAAAGATCGTCGTCAGCGCCTCCCATGAGGATGACGACAGGAGGGGAGGAGGGAGAAGTGATTTCTGACGTCAACATGATTCACCTTCCATGTGGAGAACGTGGGAGGAGAGGACGAACAGGACGAGGGGGAGGCAGAGCTGGAGGACTAAACGGACCGTATACCAGGGAAAGAAGGTCAAGAAGTGGAGGAGGCGTACAGGGAGGAAGCCGAGGTGCCAGGTAGACAGGCTGGCGAATGAGCGAAGGCCGAAGAGAGGAGGTGGAAAGAGGTGATGGTGGCGGCTTACCTTGTCACTTCGCGGGGAGGACGTCGTGAGGCTCGGCGTGGCTGCAGACTGCCGACTGCGCGCTCTGGTTAGAACGGAAACGAAAACGCGCGCTCCGGTTCCCGTGAGCCCGCGCCAGTTTCACAGGGACCACCCTCCACGGGTTCCCAATAAATTATGAAGAAAAAAAAAACACGTTGCTGGGCCCTACGACGTGGCTGACTACACTGCAAATCTACAACTCCCCGGCGCGACTACACTGCAGATCTACAACTCCCCGGCGCGACTTTCTGCTCACCCGAGCTTCGAGTGCAATTGAAACTTGCGGCCTGTCTAAGGGCCTCGCCTCACAGGCTTTCGAAACGCGTGAAATTGAGGCCGTGTCTTCGCCACACAGCCTTTCGAAACCAGTTCTTTCGAAAAAGTTTCGAAAGGTGTCAGATAAGCCGGCGTCGAAAATCTTTACGAAGAGATGAGATCCTCCCGCCTGTCACGAGCCTTTCCTCGAAAGACCTCGAGTGGTCTTTTGAAAAGGCCCACTCGGTCGGCAAAAAAAAAAAAAAAGTGGCGATTCCAAGGGCCTGGCTCCACTACTCTCTACATGCACAAACTGTCCATGTTCTAGGCAAAGATTCCGACTCTCGTTTTACACGCGTAGTGAGCAAATGAGCCAGGCCCTAATGTACATACATAGAAAGGCCTGGGTGTTTCGAAAGTCTGTGTGGCGAGGGGGGTGTTCCTTTCGAAGAGCAGACTTTCGAGAAAAGTCTGACAGCTTTCGAAAAATGCCTTCGTTCGAAAGCCTGTGTGGCGAGCCCCTAAGGGCCTCGCCACTCTTGAAACCGCGTTTTCAAGAGTTGGACGCGTCGCTACACAACCACTTGAGAGTTGTAGACCGAAAAGTCTTTGGAGAGTTTTCAGAACCTCGTTTCAAGAGTAGCACTCGAAACTCGGAAACGCCCAGCCTGCAGCACCGCTCTTTTCAAACATCCTCCCGAGGGCACTCAAAGGCCCTTGATTTTCGAGAGGTGTCAGGCCGTTATCCTGACGCCATTCGGAAAAAACAAAGCTGTATGACTGTCGTTTTTCATCGTTTGTCCAACACCATCGCCCTTTCCAGAGTGCTGTGTGGCGAGGGGCCCGGAACTCTTGAAAACCCGACTCTTGAGAACGTCTGACAGCTCTTGAAAAATTTCCCCGTTTCAAGAGTGGTGTGGCGAGGCCCTAAACTGCTAAACTGCAGTTCGAAATGCAATTACGAACTGTAACCCTGACTGCGCCGTAGTTTTCTCTATATATAAATTCCGCAAGCCATCAAATAAATGTGTGTGTGTGTG